AACTAGACGCACTGGGAATGGCTTCTTGAATTTGAATGGGCAAAGGAACCCACCTTCAAAGAGAGGATGGTTTTAAGTGGAGGAGAATCAACAGACTGGGGGGGGGGGGGCAGAAATCCCCATTCCCCTGTGCTAAAATAATGCCACTAACAGCTGCCTGCAGCTGCACTGCTTCTTGGGTCATCCTGTAGTGTTAGCATCCAGCTTGCATTCAGGAGCTCTCTGGTAGATCCACTTATAGAGGGGAGTGTGAGTGAATCCATTGATTTTGGGTTTCTTTCTTTGTTTTCTGTTTTTTTTTAAAATACCGCCTTAGTTTGTGGCCTGTCTTTTGTGATTGGAAGGAGGCATGTCTGTAGCAGGGCGGGTCGCTCGGGCGGCTGCACGCATGATCATGTGCTTCCCTCTTCTCTGTCTAGCGGGATGTGCTCGCCTGATTTCCCAGAACAGAGACTTTGAACAATTTGTTGTTTATATGATGTATTTATTTTTACTTGTGTTTCATGTCATTTTTTAAAAAAACAAATAAATTGTAACTTGGTACAACTGCCTGTGGGCTCACTCACTCCTGCTGTGAAACATCCAGGACCAGAGCAGGGGTCTTGGGCTGCAGGAGGTCTGGTATGGATGTTCACACACACATGCACTCATCTCGGCCCCAGCTGTGGGTGCCAGGGGTGTCAGAAGAGGCTTAGTGAGCTTGATTGTGCTGGAGGGAGTGGAATAAAGGATCACTCAATTCAGCAGAGCACCTTGGCAGATGGGTTAAGAGTCAATGACTTACTGGAACCAGTGGTCCTTTGTGGAAGTGGGGCGCAAGAAACCATCACCGTGGTCAACAATAAGTTAAATCTAGTCCCTGTCAAACAGCCAGTGAGTGGCTCAGTTGCTTTGGTTCACCAGCTGAACCAAAGCAACTGAGCAACTCCTGTTTTGACACTAGCAAGGGTGTTCTTATTGCAGAGGACTTTCCCCTGGCAGGAGCAGCCCAGCACTGGCCCTTGCTTGTTACAAAGTACATTTAGTGAGGTAGTGGCCTTGTTTTTGATAAGCTGATTCACAAACCCCCTGGTGGGGGCAGGGGCAAGCAGAGCTAGGCTGATGCGAAGCAGCTGCCAGCCTGAGCCTGCAGGAATACCCAGTGCAGCTGGGAGAACAGTACTGCAAAGGATTTTCCCTACAGGTTTGGAGAATGACCTCTGCCCAAGCTCGTTGCTGTGGAAGGGGCCAACAGAGCCCTGGCCACCATGTTTGCATCTCTGAGGTCTGTGAAGACAGTGTCTGATCTGAAGCCCCTGCTGAACTGCCCTGTGCCTCAGCTCAACATGTCCTGTCTCCACCTGCCACTTCTGCAAGAAAAATTAGTCAATGCCTGAGGCACTTTCCAAGTAGACCTGGGATTAGTGCTGCCTTGCCCTGCCCTGTGCTCTAGCCACTGCACCAGGCAGCATCCTGCCTTGCAAGGCCCCCTCCAGGGGGCTGGACTGGGGGGCAGCCTGCACCGGGGCTAGGTCTGCATTTCATGCAATGTAATGGCAGCCTGCAAGTGGCTGGCAAGAAACAGGAGGGGCCGTTCTTCCTCTCCAGTATTTATTTTTAAGAAGAATCAAGAAAAACAACAGGAGAAAAATGCAGGGAATAAATACTTCATGGTATGTAGATACTGTCAATCCCCTGGTCAGGTCAGTCTTGCTCAGCAGGCTTTGTAACCAGCTGCCTGCTCCAGGTCAGGGGCTGGGTCCCCTGCACTCACTCACTGCCAGACTTGGCTGTTCCATGGGGCTGTGGATGTCCCAGTGTTTCTGGTGTCTTCACCAGCCCCCCCAGGCTCGGGGAAAGAAGGGAGAAGGGCAAAGTCATGTCTGAGGTAGTCAACAGCAAGTCCTTAGGTTTTTCAGCAAGCATCTGGAGCTGGTAGTGGCAGGCAGGGTGGGCATTTAGAAGGACTCTGGGGACACAGCCAACTAGAGAGAGAGGGAGGCTTCCATGCCCTCCTGAGCCCATGTGGCACAAAGATTAGAGCAGTCTCAAGCCACTTCCTTGTGCTCGGGGGGGGCAGGATGCCGGCGCACCCTGCCTTTCTTGCCTTCCAGGGAGTGCTGCTGCCACTTCTGGTTCCAGGCTTTTTGCCGCTGCCTCTCCTGGTGCCGCAGAGCGCTGCAGTATTCACTGAGGCTGGTGCCTGGTGGCCCCAGGGCCCGTGGGTACCCCTTGTAGTGGAGCTGCCCTGCGATGCCAGGCATGGCACTCTGGTGGCTCCCTCCTGCCTCCATGGCCTTGCTCCACTTGGAAGGTGGGGCCTCCATCACCTCGTGCCCAATGACACGGAGGGTGTAGCGTGCAAGGGGGTGGGAGAAGGAGCGCTCCACCGCCTGGCACTCATACAGCCCTGCATCCTCTCTTGCCAGCTGGCGGATCAGGAGTCCCTGCTCGAGGACGGAGATGCGGTCGTTCTTCCTAACCTGGAGCAAATGCAGGAGGCAAAGGGAAGGAGGTGGGGGGCTCTGAACTGCAGCTCAGTGCAGGGGCTGCAGCTCAGCCAAAATGTCTGCAGGGGTTTTATGAGGCTGAGCTGGGAAGGGGGTGGAGCTGTTGTAGGCAAAGAACGGAGGCCTGCACAGTGTCTCTTCCACATCTGCAGAGAGGCCCAGGCACCTTCCCTGCCCCATCCAGGGCACTGGCCAAGAGACCTGGGCACTGTCCCCTGACCCAGCCAGCCTAGCCCTGAGCCATTCCCTTCCCCTGTACCTCTTCCAGCATTGCCGCCCTGCTGTGCTGCATGAGCCACCGCGTGGCCGTCTGAGGAGAGTGGGCCACGCACTCCAGGAACGTGGAGTTGTTCTCCACCCCAAACACCAGCTTCTCCTCGGCTGCAGGGAGCCCTGTGTGAGGGGGGAGCAAAGGAGTGGGCACAGGGTAGGGGGAGCCCTGCCAGGGCTGGAGCCTGCTACTGCAAGACCCTCCTCATGAGCCAGCAGCACTCCCTGCCCCACAGATTCCTCCCCCAGCATCCCTCAGCTGCCACCTGAACCACTGCTGCTCCAAGGGGCAGGAGCTGACATTGCACCAATGCCATGCTGTGCTGCCTCACTCCCAGCTGCCCCTTCTGCCCAGGGCCCTTGTGCCTGCCTTCCCCCCATCTACAGCAGGAAGACGAGCCCAGAGAAGGCACCACACTGGTGCTGGGTGGGTGTGACCATGGCTGACTCTCACCCTCTGTGGTGTCCTGGCACTGGCTGGCTGGATCAGCCTTCAGCACATCTTGGCACCGTGCTCGCCTGCAGGGAGGGGAATGAGACCACCCAGTTGGTCAGCTGGGTACCTGCAGCATCTCCTGGTAATGCATGGTCCATGCACAGGAAGCTTGTTGGCAGGACTGCATGTGGGGAGCCCAGGAGTGGAGTTGGGGAGTGGGTCTGGGGGGGTGGGGAGGGGGCAGAGTGGCAGTGGCAGGGCTGCGGGTATGGGAAAACCAGGGCAGGATGAAGGAACAATGAATGGCAGGGCTGTCTGAAGCCTACACCAGGGCTAGGCAGGGGCTGCTGCAGTGCAGAGCTGCTGGCTGGGTTGGCTTGGGGAAGCTGCTGCCAGTGCTGTATCTCATGCCAGATGATAGTGCTTGTTGTTGCTGGGAAGGGTGTCAGGGGAGCTAGGTAACCTGCCCTAGCCCTTCCCTCTCTACCACATGCAGACATAGCTGCCATCCCTGGGAGGGCAGTGTGAGGCTGGGAGCACGGTCACGGCTGGGTCTCACCTCTTCTCAATCAGCGGGTGGGGGCTGCAAGCCTTGCCATCCCAGGTGCAGTAGGGGTCCCTGCCCAAGCAGCAGTCGGTGCAGGCCTTGCCATAGAGCTCACAGCGGTGCAGGGAGAGCTGGACCAGCCCATGGGCATTGCTCACAAAAAGCTCCTGCTGCTCACAGAACCAGGACAGCGGCACTTACCTGGGTGCTCCTGTCCCCAGCCCAGCTGGCCCCAGGGCTCTGGGGCAGGGTGAACCAACAGCCAAGCCTCCCCATGGGGGAAGCAATTGGGTCACATGTGGCTGTAAATTAGTGTAGGGTGCCCTCCTCTTGTCCTGCAGCTGGGCTGTCCCAGTGCTCTGGAGCAGGGATCTCATTGCCTGAGCCCAGGAGGCTGGTCCCCCAGCACACATGCCACAGACAGTAGCAGCAGGGCCCTGGCCTGATGGGGCCTGCAAGCAGGACTGGGTCTCAGAAAGTGGCTAGTGAGGACTCACCCGCTTCAGCGAAAACTGCATGTCCAGGATGGGCAAGGGCACCTATGAGAGAGAGGACATCATTGCAGTGGGAGGAGGCAATAGTTGTGCTCAGCCAAGGCAGCCCTGGCTGTGCTGGGTTCCCCTAACACGCAAGCAGTGAGAGGGTTAAATCCAGGAGGGCTGTGGTCACCATTCCCAGCTGGGCTCTTACAAGACCCCGCTGCAGAGACAGGCAGCGTGCCCCCAGGGGGAAGTGTGCAGGGCAGGCTGGTTTGAGCAAATAACTGGATTGCCCTGAATCCAACCTCAGCCCTCGCCGAAGACTCAGCCATGCTTGGGTTGGGAAGTAGCCGTGGCCCAGTCTGGCCAGTGCTGCAGCTTGTGTCTCATGGTTCAGCCCATGTTTCGACCCTGCCCAGGCTCAATTATTTGCTTCTGACCTCAGATGCAGCGAAACAACCTGGGGCCTCCATTGCTGACCTGTACAATGGGCATGTACAGGTACCACTGAGAGGCACCAGAGAGCATAACGGTGAAGCTGCAGTGACCTACAGAGGCTTGCCGGGTACCTGTGGTGACTAAGGTGAGAGCCCACTGCAGCCTGGCTGCAAGGTGCTGCAGGAGAGCAGGGCTGACTGCCAGCCCCAGCCATCACCACCTGCTCCTCATGTGATGCAGACACCACCCCCCACCCCAGCGGAGGAAGGGCCTAGGCTCTCAGCCTTCTGCTGTGGGGTGCTCTCTGTGTAGGGTCTGCTCCAGGAGAAGCCAGAAGGGCCCCACAGGGCAGGGCTGGTGGAAGCATCTGAAGTACCTTAGAGATGCTGATCTCCTCCAAGCTGATCTCCTCGCTGTCCTGGCCTCCCCCACTGGCAACAGCCACCTTCAGCACTTTGCCTTCATCTGTGGAAGCAACAGTGGGAGGAGGTGTCAGGGTGGGGAGGATGGGGCACCCGTGCCACAGTGAATCCCCTGCCTACTGCTTGGGAGAAGTGCTGCAGTGTGGCTTGGCTTCTACAGCTGTCCCTAGACAGGAGTCCCCATAGGGCACTTAGGTGGGACAGCTGAGCCCTTGTTCCTCTTAGACCACACCATGAGGCATCTCTTGTTGGATGCTGGTGTTGGCAGGACACTTGCCTGCCTGGCTGAGGTAGTGGTTTTTAGAGACATCCCCCTGTGCCCCCAGCTTACAGGCAGGGACGGACAGACAGACAGAACCCTGATGGGCTGGTCCTTGCTTTTTGTGGCTTCACCAATGTCTGCTGCATTTAGGCTGCATTGTGTTTCCAGCCCTTGTAGCGCTGATGGGAGCACCCACCACCCTAGCATTGCACAGAGGCAGCCACATTGAGTAGTGCCCAAAGGCTGTGCCCAGCGCAGGGATGTTCAGGAGCAGGCTGGGAGGTCTTCAGAGCAGCTCCCATCACTACCCCACAGGGCACTTTTATGCATGAAACCCACCGGAGTTTCCCTAAGAAGAGGCTAAGTGGGAAATATACCCACAATTAAAGCCCAGCCATCTGGAGCTGGGTACCGGTAAGCTCAGAGTCCTCCACACATGATCTGAGATAGCATCTCGTTGGGGTTGTTCTGACCAGCTGCAGAGCTAAGCAAGATGCCAACCTGGCCCCACCTGGGCTGAGGAAGGCCCATCTCCATCATGGTTGGGAGAGCTGCCCTGGCACTCCCTGGCAAAGACTTAAATGTGTAACCTCAAAGAGCAGGGGAGCTTATATGAAGTATTGTAACCAATAGGAAAATGATACAAGGCATTTTTACCAATAGGCTGGCAGTATGCAGACTTTTGGAGTATGCTTTCCCTGCTGACCTAGGGATGCAAGCCAGCCTCTTCTGTCTCCTGACGGAAGGGATATGTCTCGGCTTCCCCCCCCCCCCCCCCCCCCTT